TGCTCTTGAAAAAAAGCCTACAAACACCAAGCAGCAGCTTTTTTGGTGTGGGGGCAGAGGAGGAGATTTAGACCTTTTTTTCTTTTTTTCCCCCTGGAAGGTGATGATTGCTTTTATGAAAGGACAAAGTGCAACCACAAGAATACCTGAAGACCACAACGAGGAAGATTGTGAGTACTTACATGCCTTTAAAGTACACGAGTATCAACTCTTTCTTTATGTTTTTTATCATTATTGTTATTGTGGAAGTCCAGCACACAAGAGACCGTTTGTTTAAATCACTGATGTGAAATACACTCTCTGACAGAATGAAAGTATTTGCTGTAGGACTATACTTATCCCCTTCAGCCTTTTGGGGCTTCACCTGTTGTCTACTCTACTCATTCAGAAAAATAAATATAAAACATTTGTCATCTCTGGAATGCAGCATAGGTTTACAATAAAAATAAAATCATATTATAGCAAATCCATTCACGTAAGAGAGCATCCAATAATCTTTGATTGCCTTTTTTAATATGTCAGACCCTGCCCATTAAATGCATCTCTACACTTTCATAAATGAAACTCATAAAAACCCATTGCACAGAAATGTTATTGATGAAACTTATGATTTATGACAGGCTATTACTTCAATATATTCCATTTAGCATTATGAATTCCATCTACATCTCATGAGCTGATAACGTGGCACCAACTACCAACCTTATAAACTGCTATCATATGGAAAAAAACCATTAGAAAGTTCAGATTCCTGCATACAACAGCAACTTTGGCATTGAACTTTATACTGTACATAAACTAAGTCTGAATATCTGAATGAAATTTGATGAAGGAGGACCATTTGGGTGTAATAAAGAACTAAGTAAACTCGACTATGATTCACACCCTCCACCACCTCACTGAAGTCCAACAGATTTCACATATTGTAATTCAGTACTAAATTTAGCCCAAAGTAGACCTTTTTAGCACTATTTTGGGACAGTCAAAAAGTTTCATTCTTTTATTCCTAGAAGGTTTGGACTACAGTCATTCCATATTTAGAAAGGCCTCTGTCTAGGAGGAACAGTAGTTTTCTTTCATGTTTCTGATGAGGCAAAAGCCAACAGATACTAGTTAATTTTTGTTTACTTATATGCACCAGTTTTTTTGCTAATGGCTTTGAATGGAAGGCCACAGCATCAGTAAAACGTGGTAAACTCACCTAGGAGAGGCACCTCCAATCACTAAAAAAAACAACCAAATCAAAACAACCATAATTAATGCTTTCTGGTTTATGCATACATATTACCTGTACACACAACCACATATAAATCAAGGACAAATAGGTAATTCAGTTTAGATAGCAATACACTAATATTAAGAAAAATTTACATGAAAATACAGCATTTAGAAAGATCTCTTACAGGAGAATTACATTAATATCCCTTAACTACTTAAAATAGAAACTGAAATTATCAAGATACAAACATATTTCAAGGTTAAACAGACTTCAATCTGCACCACAGACACTTCACACTACAACATTTCAAAAAGTGAGGATGCTACCACACCTGACTTTAAAGGAAAAATTAAGAGGACTCTTCAGAAATCATGACCCAAACCTGGATCACATACAAAAGCAAGCTCCTGATATTGTGACAGATACATAAATGTTTTCACAAGCTTTGTCATAACAACAAAGCAGCAAGGACATATATAACGTTGTTCTTGAATTTGTTTCTGTGGGAGAAGGAAAGAGATCCTTAAAAAAAGATAATCTATAAAAACTACTTCAATAGAGTATACTGCACTCATTGATTAAGGAACGGAAAACAGAATATATATTTCTGTACAGTTTGTACAGTCATATGATATTGCTACAACGCAACATTTCCTCCATAACATATGTTACTGATAGTCCAACCAACTACTACTGAAGTCAACAGAAAGGCTACTTAATTTTGAACAGCAACTATGTTTTTTTCGCATTAAAACACATAACTTCATCAGGTGCTGATATCAGCTTTAAACCAAAAATTATCTTTTTTTGTCAGTACTATTTCATAAAGTTTGTTTCCCTGTTATATGAGCTCATGGCTAACAGGTATTACAACTTGGACTGCAAAAAGATCCCATTTATTTAGAATTGCTTGTGTAAGTACTTCCTGAAACAAGCTGAATTTGCTTAAACTTCACATTTTCTTACATTTTTCGCTGTAGTTATTAGGATGAAAGATGGACAGCTTAATTTTATTCATATTCAATTGGAAATTTAAGCACATCAATTAAGCCTTCAATTAAAATTATTATCAGCCAAATAAAAATAAATACAACTAAAATACAAACATAAGATGTCCAGGTTAGAAGTCCTGGTTTATGCAACATCTCCAGGAGTGAGGCAGGCAATGACTGTACCAGCTGGTTTTAAGGTCAGAGCACTCAGCGTACCTTGTCCGTGGAACTGGCCGTTTCATGTTCAAATCATGGACTTCAAAAATAAACTTACACCGAGTACTTGCACTTAGAAGGAAAGTTCTGCTGTTTAAATAAGGCGATGGAGCAAGAACTGAACTTTTCAGCAAGTACAGCACAGTCCAAGTCATTCTAGTCACCAGCTTACCTGGTTCAAGAAGATAAGGAGCTACGGCACTAGCTACTGCATTCCATACATGGTTCGTATGGAAAGGCTAGTATAGACTGATTGCGGTAATGAGGATTAGAGGGCACTTTGTAAGTCTGCACAGTTCAGATAACCTTTGGCTATTGTGAAAGCACCACTTAACATCTGTTTAAATTCTCCTCACAATCCTATATATTAGAGACTTGTTTATGTAGCTCCAAGGTAACAGACTGATGCAAACTTGTAATTAGCACAAACCCTACCAGCACAGCCACCAGGAGACTAATTTGGATTTAAAGAGAACTGCTAGGAAAGTCACAGTTAACTCCTCAAAATATCCATGCTCTTGTGAACCCCCCACCAAACACAGGCATGGAAATTGTTGTCTCTGAGGTCTGGCAGTAGAATCAGGAAACACAATAAATGAAGTTCAGCAAATGAACCTGTTTGAACCTGCTCTTAAATGCAGTTATTAGACATGAACGTTGATCCAGCCAACTTTTTTGAACTTCAATTGGCAGGAAAATTATTTAATTTTCACTTATTTTTGGCAACTGCTTAACTGAAATTCGTATTTTTCATAGGATATGAGAATGGAAATGTTGTGTGCGTTACTTTGAGTGAAATAAATGGATGTCAGTATTTAATTCTTCTGGTTGTTTTCCTTCTGAATCATTCTTAAGAATCCACAATAATTGCACTTCACTGTGCCTGACAGCTTCTTTTATGATAATTTTTTCTTGTTGGGATACAGAGAACAACACACAAAAAAATCAACTGAACAATAAAGCAAATGCTCTTGAATACACTGAAAGTCCAAGAATTCAGGTGAGGTCAGTAAGAATTTTCTTACAAACAAGTAGTGAAAACAGAAATGAATGAAGCCAGACCCCTCAAATGATCCCAGATACCTGAGGATACACTTCACAATCTGACCTTCAAGGCAAGGTGGCAAGGGCAGTAAGAATTTGTGTAAGAGCATTTTAGCATTCTCACCAAGACAAAACACCAAGGAAATATCCCATAAAACACACTGGTCTGTTTCTGAAACATGGCAGGATGAGTTTCAAATATTATCAGAAGTCAAGTCATTAGAGAAAAGGAAAAAATTATATGGTCACCTAGACAAAAAAAAAAAAAAAAAAAAAAAAAAAAATCTACAAAACCCAAGCTTCTTTCCTAGCTGTGATAAATCAATCCACAATTAAAGAATATTGAAATGGTCTCTGAAATTATGTGGAAGAAGCTAGGCCACACTATTAAGCAGCTGGTAGGTACAGTTCTCTTTAGATAGAGTTATTAAAAATACCTACACAAGAAAATACATCAGAGCTCAAGAATGGATTTTAGCTTATTTCCTCAGCATCCATCGTGCTACTGCAGTATCAAATGATCTTTCATTGGCTTTTGTAGGCTTTGTGAATAAGTGTATCTTCCTTTTGTGATCAAACTACATCTGCTGATATTCTGGACTACTTATGTTATCTTGATTCATCCGGCTTTAACAAATAGATGCACTAGACACAGGAGGATGCAGTGATGCTATCATTTCATGTTGGTATAAAGTATGGCAGATTCCTTTTATTTCCAGCTTTGATATTGATAGTGAAGAAGGAATTCTTGTTACATAAACAAAACATTTACACTTACTCTACTTGAGTTTACACCTAGCTATTAAAGCAGGGGCTCTAGCTCAGTTGAGGATCTTTCGAAAAAAACTTGAAAAATAAAGAAATTACACCTACTGAGTATTTTTTACATTACAAAAAAGGGGGGAAACAGCAACAAAACTGTCAGTAAAAAAAGCTGCACCTCTAATGCTCCATCTAAAAACTTAGTTTCATCATAAACAGACCATGAAAAGAGCAAGCCAAAAGAGCAACATATATAACTGAATATTTAGTGGTTTAATATTATTTTGGAAAGCATACCATTTCAGATTCCTACAAATTCAGAATAGCTTCTTAAAGCTAAGAGATGTTCTGCTGCATGAGATATTTCAAGTATATTAAATATGGTTTTCTAAAATAGCTTCTCCAGGAATAAGCACCCAATGAATATATACAATAAATACAGAAGTCACTAACTCTTTAGAAGTTCTGAAACCCTCCAGTACATCCTTTGGTGTGTGCAGGGGTCAAAAAAAAAAAGTGTGTATTTTATATACAGACACACACACCCCTCAATAAAGAAAATGTTATGAAATTCAACATAAGCCTTATGAGGCTCCAGAAGGCTCTATAACTATCAACTTTGCTCTGTACATCTTACAGAAGGCTGGTCATTTTTACCTAGTTAATTAGGTACAATTATTTATAAGTACTTCCTTATATATTTGCTATTCTAAAGAATTTATACAGGATATTTATGTTTCCCATGGAACATAAGCTAAATTACTCACCTTTCTTCCTGCTAAAAGCACGATTCATGTTGAAAAGTCTATCCAGTCAACGATGTTTCTGGGTTTAGGTTTTTTTCCCCCCCACTTTAACCTGCAGAACAATACATATAAGAAAACAGAAAAGTCCATTATTGTATTTGAAGGTAGCTCATTATCTTCATATTAAAGACAATGGAAATGATTTTTTAAGAATTGTAAATAATTCATAGAAATAGAAGGGGACGTGCTTTGCTGAGGAAGACATTGCAGAACTGAGATTTATGTTTGAATGCCCAGTGGTACTTAATACAGAAAAGAGATTTTAAAGCTTTCTGTGAAGCTCTTCTCACTGAAATTTCACAGAGACATAGAGCAGATGGTATTATATGTATACATGAAGACAAATACCACACACAAATAGGTTGGAAAAATTTAAAATGAATGCTGACTACAAGACTCTATAAAAACATTCAGTTCACATTTGCACTGTCCTGTTTTGTGTCATTTGGGCTGTCAGATTATTTCAAGCTATGCTTTCATCTTCATGTGGGCTTGACATTGAAAAAAAAAATTTAAAAATCAGAACATAAAGACTCCTCTTCACCCAGGGATTCAACACTGAAAAAACTGCCGTCTATCAGTTCAACTATCTCTTTACTCCGATTACATCAGATTATACAGTAATTTCTGTATTTTCTTCACTTAAAAACATTGATACAGTCTTAAATTCTTACCTTAATTTTTGATTCACAATATTACTTTACAATTTTATTCTTTACCAAAATTTTGCAGCCAAAAAAACAAACAAAAAAACAAAATACAACACATCCAATGCTGTTCAAAGCCATCCCATTTTGTAATACACCAATTTTTCTTTTTCAAACATATGTGAAGATATTCGCACCATATCTTTCCATTCTGTTCAGATCTTCCAGCCAAAAGCTGCACCAGTACCCTTCTTCCTTCTCTGCTCTCATAAAAGTCCAGTCAAAAGAGGGGAAAAAAAAAAACAAAAAAACCAACCAAAACAACAGAAAGCTGGGAGAGAACAAAGAAAAAAAGAAAATCAAAGCACTTCGTATCATGTCTTTGAAATGAGTTAGAACATTACCTTTGCTTTGAATAAAGATAAAAGTTAAGCCAGTATTTCAAGTTCAATTCAAATTCATTTAAGATACTTTATGCAGCTCACGAACACTTTTTGTAGTGCTTTCCTCTCTTTTTCAAATAACTAAGTTCAATACCAATTAAGCGATTATATCCCAATTTCCATGTAGACAATTGATATTTTTCAGATTAGAACATACGGGCAATTACAGCTAAAAGCCACCTCCATTTTATTTGCAAATAAACACTGCTGTGGTCAGACTACTTTTCCACACGATCCTGCAAGAATGAAGGAATAATCCCCCTTTACCTAAACTGCTATGTAGTACCCTAGACATGCAACCAACCAGCCTTTGCTCTTTAAAGTACATGCACCAGATAATTTTTGTTTCACAGATTTTACTGAGTATGAAGGGAGGATATAATGAAATAAGCAAAGGTAGTGGAACATGATTTCCATTGAGTTATTTTGATACAAAGTCAAGAAACAACGCATTTGGTACACTGCACAGTAGTTCTTAACAGCAAAACTGCAGAAGCCCTCCATACACCCCCAGCCATTCCCACTGGCTGCCTTCACTATCAACAGTGCTACCCAGAAAGCTACGGATACAGAGAGGTCAGTGAAACCAGCAAACTCCCATAAGGGCTCTGAAGTCCTAGGAATGATTTCAGCAGCATTGGTGGAATGGGCAATGGCGTTACTGGGGTAATTCCATTAAGTAATAGCTTACCCATGAGGGAGTTTCACCGCAGGCTGCCCACACGCAAGTGTTCTCTTCGCAAAGAAGGCAGAGTAGGACTTACAATAGCGTAAATGGTGACAATCAACTCAGTTTCAATGAAGTACCAAGCAGCGAAGAACATTAGAATTTCAGCTTTTCAAGCAACTGACAAGCATGTTTAGCTTAGAGGTTTACTTTCACAGGGAACACAGGCAGCCTATTATATATGCTAAGGATACGTAAGCAATGGTACAACTCTGTTCAGGATGTTCACCTTGTTCATGAACCACTACAGTCAACGAAGAAAGCAGTTTTGAGTAAAAAAAGTGTATGCTTGCCCTTTTATATACCTCCAGCAGTTGTCTTGCACAGCACTAGACCAATCACTTCAGTTCTCTTCCATGATGGGATCACAGCATCTCCTTTTTTGGAACATTTTTTTTTTTTTTTTTTTTTTTGTGTATTCCTGTCCTCATCCAAGAGACTACTAAGTAACATATCTGAGATGGCTTACTGAGTAGAGGACCTCCTAAACAGAGGCTATGCACGCACATGGCGAGGCTGTTGGCTGGCCACGTTTCTAGACATCGCCATTCAAGTATTTTGTTTAAAACAGAGCATAACTGTTCATACTTGATGTAAGCATTAGCTATTACAAGGTTCCATATAGTTCCCAATAAATATGCTAAGATGCAATGAAGTTCTTAACTGTTGCATTTTTCCAAAGATTGGGAAATGTAATGTTTTTTCCTCATAACCTATACTACTAAAAGCCAAAATTTATTGACTACTTACTTAAAAATGGACATTATTTTGCCAAAACTGTGTTTGCAGTTTCAATTCCAGCAAAACATTGATAGAAGAAAATATGGAAATGGCTTAGGCAACAACTAGTACTAAAACACTTAATCAGTGTACTTCCACTTATCACAAAAAATGCTATTAAACAGGGAAAGAAACACAATTAGCTACATGTAACTGCTTTTAAAATTCCCTCAAACTCTAATATGAACAACTTCATCAACCTCTCAGACACAGACAAAGCAGATGGTTAAATGCCCCGTAAAATTTTGCTATTAAAATGCAAAAACCCAAACAAACACCACAAGGCTAATTTCAAATTCCTCAGTTGGGTTTGGGGCAAGAGGGTGATATCAGACTGTCATAAGCAGCGCTGGTAAATTTTTGATCAGAAGAAGAGCAAAGTTATGGCTAGATGCATCTGTGATATCTCCGCTTACAATATTCAAACAAACAAAACTATTAGGTGCAAGCAAGCCGTTCTCTGATCACGGATGCTAGACAAGTTTTCTGGTGGAATATGTTGTTGTTTCTGACAATGCTCAACACACATAGCCGCTCGAAGAAAGTGAGTTGCAAAACAGCCTGTTAAAAGCTTGTGATGAAGTCAAAAGGAAGGTAAGTCAAAAAATCCCGTTATTGTGCTGGGAGCCCAGTGCAGAAGGGGGGAGTCCTTCCTGTGAAACCACTTGTTTAGACAAGGTAAAGCAGTTGTAACAATCAGAGACATTAGGGAAGAGGAACGCGGCCCAAACCATTTCATTACTAATCACTTAGGAAGACACACCTATGTAAAGAATGTTTCTCCACCTTACTGCTAGGAGTTTTCTTCAGCTTTGTCCAGAAACCAAACCCTAGTAGGAGATACAAAGCTGCATGTGATTTCACAGAATAGTTAACTGACAAAATATGAAAAGTTCTCACAGGTATAATAAACTAGGGAAATTTTGGGTTATATCAGGTTATTTCTTTGGGGGCAGAGAAAAAAAGAGACAGAAAGAAAAGAGAGAGAAGAAGCTTAGAAAACAATTTTATTAAGCTACCAATAATAAAAATGTAAGTAACAGCCAAACATCCTGGGCAGGGTACACACGCAACATTGTCGGTCTAAACAGCGGCACGGGCATACGGCATGGGAAGTTGAGTATTTAAGCTGCCATAACCAAACTTCAAACAGCAGAAAGCAAAAACCTTCATCTCCTTCACCCTTTGTCTTCACTGCCATTAAGCCCTTACTTTTCATGGTGAGGTGCTTCTCGCAGTGAGGAGGAAACTGCAAAATGGCAGGGGGTGCAAGGAAACTCGTGGATTTGGTGGCAGCGGTGCTTGCTGGCATTCGGACAGGCGAGTGCAAGGGGGACAAGATTTGAAGCTGAAAATTGTCCACTCTGTAATTACTTTTTAACACTAGCAGTAATGTTGGTCGCTGTCTTCTATGCCTTATGTAGCAAAGGAAGCCGAACAAAGGAAGCGGAGTGGCAGCCTTCCAGCTTCCAGCACAAACAACCGGCTGCTCAAACACCACCGAAACTTCCACACAGACATCTTTAAATGCCTGTGGGTCCTTCAGAAATGTTGTGTTTTGATATGTTTTCTAAATTTAGATCCATGTTAGACAAGCCAAGAGAGGGGATACTTAGGAAGGGGATGAAACAAACCACCAGTGTAACTGGTCTCATTTGGCTCTTATTTCCTCTTAGAAATCGGGCATTCCTCAGGGTTTATTTGGGGTTCCCTCCCCAGCCAGTCCCTTCGAATGGCACGGGCTATAACAATTACCTAGGCTGAACCTTTTTCTTTTTTGCATGTGTCTTCTTCATTTCCCAAATAATTCCTCCAACAAAACCTCCCTAAAACCCCCAACACGTACCCATCAACACCCTTTAAAAAACCAAAAAAAACCCCCGAAAAACCAACCAGTAAACATCTCCCTTCCCTCTCAAACACACACAGTTTCCATAGAAAGCCAAATTTACTTCAGAAGACCTGAAGATTCAGACTTTTTCCCCTCTCAGACCTCAGCCTTTCAAGCACACTGAATAACATTTCTTAAAGAATGAAGCACAAAATGTCTTAAACCCTGTTTTCACAAGGGCTGCAGCACACAGGAATGTGTGATTCATTGACTTGCAATGAAACATAGGCTTATAAAGTTACTTCTGAAGGTAAGATGAGACGCTTTGGAATATGGCAGCAGCTTTAAAATTCTCTTTCTGAGTTAGAGCAAAACACGATGAAAATATTGTTCTGATATGACATGTGACATAATGAAGGAAAAAATTTAATAGTAGAAGACTACATGAAGTGATACATAAAACCAACTAAACATCATCATATCATGATGTACTGCCCTTCCCTTTGTATGACCAGTAACTGAAACACTGACTTGCCAAAACTCTTTCTCCTCTGAAAGAGTGAAACCATAAGAAAAAGATGTTGACACATCAATGAACAAAATTCAGTGCAGACCCTGAATCTG